AAAGCACATGAACACAAAAACTTTGTATTCTTTTCTCTAGTATAGTGTGGAGTATCTTTTTCTGAATAAAAGTCAAACTGAAACTGACATGTAGTGGTACTTGTTATCCGGAGGGTGTCTGCCGGTGGTGCTGTTTTTCCTGCAGAGACTGACGTCCACACAGGGGCCTGGAGCCAGAGCCACTCTTTTCATTTCCTCAGCTTTGTCGTTGGCCAAGTTCATCACAGACAGTTGAGGCAAAGGCTGCAGCACAAAAAAAGTGCTGTTGGCTCACAAACGAAGATTATTACAGTCACTGCAACCAGAAACATGTTAAACACTGAGCTGAAGCAAGTGTTGGGAAAAACACAATAAGACAAATGACGATGTGAAACTGTGAAAGGAGTCACTCGTAGTGTACGTAGAGAAAATGTTTCAGCTCATTTTTTATCTGTCTGACTCAACTTTATACTGTTTTGGTTAACTCAGTGCTCTCTTGGTGTCTTTTTCAGCTGCATCAGGCAGATGTTTTTCAGAGGAAAAGCCAGAGCACCCATCTGAAATTCACTGCAGGATAACAGCTCTGTTTCCTCGTGTGGACTCATTAGCTCCTTTTACGCTGCAGCTCCCTGATCCTAAAACTACTTGATCAGCATTGGCTGAGTTCTTGTTTCAAGGCTTAAAGAAACTCATAACAGTGAGGTCTGGAGTTTTTCCTATTCACACCAAGAATTAAAAGGCATTTTATCGTCCACAGTGCTCATCCAAACTAGTGAAAATGTCTTCTCCTTAGAATCTCGCTGCAAACGGATTGATCTCAAGATGCAAGAAATACATATCCACATGTGAGGCATTCCATAACACTATCAGAGTACAGATGACAAACCAGAATTCCATGTGGCCTTAGGATCAACAAAGCTTCTTTGCCTTGAAGTCATGAAAAAGCAAAAGCAGATACTGTGCTTGTTGTGACAGATAAGTGCATCGCGTGGTGTGACCTTTGAATAGCATTTCAAAATAATAGCACAGAGTCAGAAAATGTGCTGCCGTCTAAATATTCCTGGGACTTACAGTTTGTGAGTTCATTATGCCGAGTCATCTCAGTAACTGAAAATACATTACCTTCAACATCATGCCTGCTTTCCTCAGGGAATATTTCTTAGGCTCATCTTTCAGTATTTCCTGAATTCTCAATGAGTTTCCTCCCATGTGACACTTGAACTCTGAGAAGAGGCCGTTGCGTGATGGGTTGGTGCTGCCGCCAGGAAGCAACTTCTTCAGCCAGCGACTGTACTGAGCTCTGGCAGCCTCGAGCTGCTCCTGCTGCAGAGGATCTCCTGAGGATCAACACCCACTAAACTCAACAGCTTTAAGCTTTACTGTTCATGTGGCTTAACTAAACAGGTGAGACACGGGATGGTTGGACAGACATAAACAGATATTTACCAATGCTAACTAACTGCTGATATCACTGAGGCTCCACTGACCAAATCTATTCTCCAGTGTGGTGTGGGAGTGTTCTACTCAGTAGCAAAAACTGTTACCGGCTCAAGTAGCCGCCATCTGGAGCTTCAATCAAAACATATCAATATTGGCCTTCAATACTGCGAGAAAGCTTACAGCCCAGACAGTTATAGGAAAAAATGCACTCTTGGAGAGAAATTCAGTGCATTGCTAGATGCTACTTACAGCCTAGTCTCTTTCTTCCCATGTTTGGTAAAATTTCATCGTTAAAACAAAGCAAAGTTGTACCAGATGCCAGATGGGCAATGACAAGTTTAAGGTTAGGCCTAAATGGTAAATCTTAGCCTAGAAGATTGTTGTTTAATACGTTGTCGTAGCTGATATTTCCATTAGTCAGTCAACTAATTTGATAAGCATCATTATGTGAATGCAGAATATGTAGAGTTGCCGTCTAGTCCTCATGTCCTTGTCACTCCCAATAGTGATACACCAAGCTCTGTACAGCAGGGACAGAGGGGAGTGAACTTCAAACCATCTACCTATGAGACTCCAGTTCTGAAAACAGTCCAATTTAAAAAGTCTTTAACTGAGCAAAACACATCAATTCAGGTAAATCCCATATAAATCAATACTTTTAAACGTTTAAAAGAAATTAAATGATTTAGGATTTTGTTAGCTGGAATGATCACAGCCCTCTCCTACTCCTACTATAGAAAGATAGTTCCATGACATGAGGTCTGAAATGAAAATCAAGTACTGAAAATACAATAAAGATGTTATGCTCTGTTATGAATGTTTAAAACCCTTTTTCGAATGCTGTGTTGTGTTTTTTGTTAACTGACTCCATTTACTGCGGTCTATTTCTGTCACATGAATAGAAAGTAAGTAAATAGGATACTTTTGGTTGTGTGGCCTCACTGACGCAACATTGGTTTAAATGGTGTGTGGGGTGGGGATGGGGGGGGCTTATCTTCTCCCTATTGTCTTCTGTTTTACGGTTTCGGCTGCAGAACCTTGACTAAAGGCAGAACTGGTGGCCAGTCCGACTACAGGTTCTTGTCTTATTCATTCGCTAATTTATCAAACTTTCTTACCTCAGCTCAGTCAACCTTCTGTTCTCAGAAGTTCACTTAGTCACGCCTTTGGATGAGCTCAACTAAGTTTCCTGGTTGGTCGATGCTAGATTGGTGTCAAATTATCGTCATATATATCCTGCAGGGGACCCAAAAAAATGGGGTTTTGAAAAGTGTGTGTGAGTGTGTGCGTCCCTCGAGGATGTTAAACCCAAGTGTGTCCTGCAGTAAATGACACCTTGTGGCTGTGTGACAGTATGATATATTGAAGCAGATGGATTTCTCCTGCTGAACTTCAGTATAAGACGGTGACTATGTAAAGAAACCCTCTCTTGGATTCTGACACCAATTGCTGACATACACAGCTGATGTTTTAGCTACAATGGATATATCACAGTGAGACATCTGGTTGTTAACATTTGGCCAGTTACTCACAGGAAAAGAAAAATGTACTTTTAGTGCTTAAAAGTGTTTTATGGTACGTTGATGCTGCACAGCCTACCAGGCAGGTGAATGGTGACAGGAGGTGGGCTGAAGAAAGGGGGAGGCTTGCTGTAGAGCTGAAAGTCCTCAGAGCGCTGGCTCCAGGCCCATATGTCCCGTGAAAGTGTGGGCTTCAATACGTTGGCATGTAGGGTGTTCTCTTTCCATGGCTGAAAGCACAGTGAACAGTAGGATTATCAACGTAACCCTCTGATGTAAACACACTCTGTCACTGTATACCTCAACAAGGTGGATTTTGTTAGCCGTGTCAGATTGTGTGCTGCGTCATAGAGAAAGAAGACAGTAAGTAAACACTGATAAAAGTGTATGCCTACGCTAGGATTGATCGGAATGACAATAAAGTAAACATTCCTGTTCCTGTGAAACCCCACATTGCTGAGAGTGACATCACCTTCCTCAGCTCTTCCACGCGAGCCTCATCTGGGTGTCTGGGGTGCACTTTGGATTTGTCACCTCTCATACTTGTGAACCATACTGTGGAGGCTGCCGTGAAGCTGGGGTCATTTTTAGAAGTCACGTCTCCTGGCATCACTGTAGCACTGTGATACCGCTGACCGTAGGTAAACCTCCGCCCTGGCACCTGAAGTTATCACCAAAGAAGCACGATAACGTCACCGTCGTCTTCACAAGACACTTCCTTCTGTGTCCCAGGGGCCTCATTAGAGAATAACTGCGTGTCCTATCTTACAGAAGCAAATCTTATCTTAAGAAATCCTAACTAGAACTTCTTCAGTCGGCTCTCGTCCTGTCAGGCCTGTTTCTGTGTTTAGAGCCTCCACGAGACTGCCTGTATCCATGACAGGAGGAGAGAAAACTCGCTTTTTGTTAAGGACAGGGTCTGTTAAGAAGCTTCTGTAATAGATATATCTCTATCCTATAATAAGATAGGATTTTGTCCTAAATGCAGTTAGGAATCATGTTTGTATAATACCAAAAATCCTTAATGTCATCCTAAACTGAGATAAGATAGGATTTCTGTAATAAGGCCCCAGGTTCCAAAAATAGAGAATAACAGCAGCCTTATCATTTCACTACATACCTATGTATGCTATGTAGACTTTACATTTTGAATACAGGTTTAGATTACTGGATGTACTCATACTTCTGTTTTCTCCCTCACACAAACATCTACTCTGTGATCTATCACAATGAACAACTCCTCATCAATGTTTACAAAGTACATGTTTTTTCATCATTGGGCTGGCCCTGACAGTGCTGGAGCCCTAGGTGAGATTGTAATTGTTTAAAAAGGAATTGTTTAAAAAATTTTAGCATTAACAGCCAACTCAATGATCATGGTCCAAAGTGAAGAAGTGTGACCAGCCTCCACATTATAGCCTAAACTGGGAGACCAAACCTAACCTGGGATCTAGGAATGTGTTCCCCCATAAACTGTGTGTCAACCCAGATACTATATTCTGTCACTGTAGTAAATTTATGGGGTAATTTTCCTGAAATGCAAGAGCATTAAAAAGGATTGGATCAATAAGTTATAGTAACTTCTTTCTATAATTTATAATTCAACTCCTTTTTAACTCCACTTAAAATAATAAGTTATGAAATTTCAACTTAATTTAATGAGTTATCACTATTTCAACTCAGGTTTGTTCAAGTTCAGTGAAATGTAAATTTCAGTGTCAGCTAACCGGATCTCTTAGAAAGTGACCATGACCCCGGTGTGGCGACAGTATTAATGTGCGGTGCAAATAGTCCTGAATATTTTGTCTTGATCTGATCTGATATACGACTAATAACTATGATGGATTTTTGTAACACATTAATGAGGCGCTCCACCCAATTGCAATTCCCCATTGACAGAAGAAGAGGAACACAAATTAAGCCGACTGACAACAGTGAGCAGATAAGCAGCGGATGAATACGTTTTTTTCAACAAGATCTGGATGAGACTTGGCAGCGGAAAAAAAAGCGGGTCATTTCGTTTTGGAGCAAGAGAAACAAGTTGAGTCTTTCATTTATAATAATTGTACAATTCAATTAGTTAATTAACTTCGTTATGAAGATAGGAATTGCTGTCATGAAACTTTCTAAACACGGGATAGTTCAGAGCAGCTTCTTAATGCAAGTAGTGTTGAGCAGTGAACCCAACTTTACAGTGTTTGACATTAATGTTAGTCCTAATGTTACTTTTTACTTTTATTAACAAAAAACACAAGCAGAGTCTTTTATGACATTCACCCCTCATAAAAGCACATTTATGGCGCTTGGTAAAAGTTTTAGCGCCCATGTTGTTTGAATTTTTGAGTTAGCTGCTTTACTACAGCTTCTTTGTGTAACTTAGTGTCAGTAATTAGCCTTGGCTCGTACCAACGATTTTTCGGTAATTAGCCTTGACCATTCCAACGTTGTTTCAGTAATTAGCCTTGGCCCGTACCAACGTTGTTTCAGTAATTAGCCTTGGCCCGTTCCAACGAGGTGGGCGGAGGGGCTTCGTCATTTCAGAAATTACCCATGACCAGGTGAGTTGCTACTTAATTTAATGTGAGCTGCTTCAGCAAAATTAAGAGGATTTGGGCACGCTTAACATTATTAACTGATCTGTGTCGAGTTTTTTTTCTTTAAAGCAATGTTATTAGTGACTTTGTACTCAGCTCCAGCTTAACCTGAAAATTAAAAAAAAAAACAGCGGGAGAAAGGTAATGTTAAACTTTACTGGCGCCATTGTGTTTCACTATCTCACTGTGAAGTAGGAAATTCAATAAAGTTATTTGTGGCGGCCGACACAGTATCAACGCTGAATGCCACATATTAGTTTTTCGATTTTCTTTTTTTTACTAGGCCTATTTAAAATCGTGTTTGATTGAATTGGCGCAACACATCCTCTCACCCGTTCCTCTCTCTCGCTCTCCCTCATGAACACCGAGGCAAAAAACTGTCCAACACAATGCTGTCAATGTTGGAGACCCAGCTCTAAAGTTATTAGCAAGCATGTAAGGAGCCTAGCTAATAAGGAGAGCTAAGTTAATGTTAGAATGCAAGAGTGTCAGTATCAGATTTAAGACTAAATATGGAACTGGCCAAACTATCAATGTTCTGTTCACTGATTAGGGCTGCAGCTAACGATGATTTTAGTATCCGAAGCTTCTATAGATTATTTCAACGATTCATTGATGCCTGTTTAAGAAGTAAAGGTGTTAGATATTCATAGTGTGTCATACAGCAAACATCAGAGCAACCAGACAGCTGCTTACAGGCTCGTGCAGACTACATGACTTCCTGCATCGGACAAAGGCCGTGCCGTTCACACAACTTGCCATCATATGACGGCAGTCTTGAAGTCGTTGTGGCGTTCACACTACGTGACTGGTCGGTGACAGGGGGGTCACACTCTACAGGAGCTGACAGCAGCTCTGTCACCTGACGCTGGTCTCCAAACCGCATTTTGTCAAGAAAACACATGTGAAATGTGAAACGGGAAATGAGCGATCCTGCACAGGAAACAGCTGTTTGTTATTATAAAGATGGCGATAATAAAGACAGAGTATGGGTGAAGGATGAATTAGCATACACAGGTAGCAGGGATTGTCTGAGCTACAGAGAGAGCTGCAGGGGAGTTAAAAGGTGCAGCTGAAGACTGTGGCTTACTTTGGCTTCAACACAACAATCAATCATGATTTCAGTTAAATGCTAAAGTTGCTGTTACTGTCTGTGGTCCACTGCCAGAACACCGGCTGCTTTCTGATAAGGCGCTGTCGTGCTGTTGCCGAGGCGACAAAAGTTTCGTTTTATGGTGGACGGACGGTAACATTACAGAGTTGTTGTTTTCTTTAGCTTGAAATAATCCCATACTTTGGACACTTTCTTTGTCCCTTGCTATTTTCTCTCTCTTCCTCCACTTTGCAAACAGCTCCTTTATAATCACGTCATGTTTACAGCGTAAACGCGATGTGTGACAGTAATAAATGTCCCTGCGAAACACTGTTGTATAGTTAAATGGATTAAACGAAGCTTCGACGAAAAGAATTTGTGTAGATTAATTTTATTTATCGATTTAATCGATGAATCGTTTCGCCCTATCACTGATACTTGAAAAATGTGGGGAAAATTGTTTAAGGATGTATGTGCGTGTGACGGGGACTGATATGAATAGGTTATAGTAAACATTTATACTTAAAACTATGTATTTTTCTGTCTTTTCAGGTAAAAGTAGTCTACAATGCTGCGTGTCATATCAGAAAATCAAATCGGACGTCTTTCAATTGAAGACATCCCATCCAGTGTTGAGGAGCTGTATCAGGTGTTGCGAACAAAGCTTGGTCTGAGAGGTGGATTTATTTTGCAATTTGAGGATCCTGATTTCAATAATCAGTTGTGCAAACTAACCGACATCAAAGACCTTCCTGTGGGGCGGGCAACTGTGAAAGTGTTGTTCACATCTGATAACATCTCAGATTCTACACTGGACACTTGCAGCCTCCCTTCTCTTAGTAGTGGAGATTCTGTTGAATGGCCTGACCCCTTCCCGATTCCACGGTTCTCACATGATGTGGAGCTGCAGCTGAAAGAAGCAAATGCTAAGGACGGATCTGTAATGGTGATTCCTAAAGGTTTAAAGACTGATATCCTTCATACACTGACTAGTACTTCTCCTGAGAGGCATCACTGTGAGAAAGTAGCCAAAGCACGTGTGGAGAAGCATCCTAGTCTGAAGGAGCCAGGGTCTGAAAAGGGATGGTACTCATGGTTTCACAGCCTGAAATTTAAGCTTGGATCTATCGGCAAAAGTTAAGGGAAGCAGGATGCCCTGAGGTGGTGGTAACCAAAAGAAAAGGAGATTTGGAGGGAAAATGTGTAAAGAAGTCAAAGAAGGGTGAGGTCAACTACTGTCCAGATCCACCTGAAGGACAGAGTCCTGAACTGCTGAAGAGACCCTGATCACCAGCTGGTAGAAGACCTGATGGTTGCTACGTTTTCCCAGTGTAGAAAAGAGCTCTGTTCCATGAGAGACAGGTACTCAGTCGAGAGATCGAAGCACGTTTTGTCAGATACTGTATACTGTGTCCCATTCAGAATTGTTTGACTTATATTTTCTATCTGTCTCTTCTCAGATCAGGGCAGAGTTCAAGAGAATCGTCACCAAAGACCTTCTGGAATCTTTCCTTGACGGACTTGATGGCCTGGTCCCAAGACTGCTGTAGGTGTACAAAGCAGCAACCAAGACTGGAAAGAAGCAATCACTCAAAGACATTTTGGACTGCCTTCAGAAAGATGTAAGTGGAGAGCAGATGATCACAAAATTTATTATCTTTGCTAAAACATTTATTTTCATCCTACTGCATGTTTCTTTGTCTTGTATGATACAAATGAGAGGAGAAGGACTGCTGCTTTGCTTGGTCTGCCACACTACATATCAGGCAAGATCCATCAACTGCCGTCAGGATGTGTGATGTAAGACCATTAGGATTTCTGTAATGCAAAACTGTCAATGTGTATATGGGTGATTTTTTTTTTTTTCATTTTTTATTGTGGGACTTTTTCTATTCCCAGCGGAGATTTTCATGAAAAAAATACTTGATGGGAAACGACAGATTATATTGGTTCAGATTAGGTTTTAGTAGAAGTGCAAAAAAATAAGTGTCTGTTTGCTAAATTGTCTCAGTGATGACATTTAAATACTTCTCCAGTCTGTTGAAAACTCAAATGTTCTGTTTTTGGTGGGGGTGTCCCCAACCCAGCCTTAATGTTGGCCATCTAATAAAGTCATAAAAACTCATTCAATTAATTCAAACTTTACTTTGCATTTTCTCATATTGACTTAAACAGTTTACTAGAAGTTTATGTGGTTTTTAATTTGTAATTTACACTTTTTTTGTTAAGTGTGGCTGTTCCTGTCACTCAACTTTTAGTGAAAAAATCTAACATTTGCTAAAGTGCATCAGTGTGTGATCTTACGATTTCAGGCTCCCTTGAAGCCATGAAGGGGATGCAACTAGGCCTGCTGATAGGCTATGAAGGTGCTGAACGGGAGGCCTTCAAGATAGCTGTTGTGGTTGAGGAGACCGTTGTGCTTCATAACATTAAAGATGTGGCATGCAGCTTTGCCATGCTCATGGGTGTCATCTACTGTGTCAATCTCGAGTACCCAGAAGCCATGAAGTATTCCTTTGAGTTTCTTCAGAGTGATGATGAAGATACAGTAAAACCAGACCAAGCATCTGCCCGAGTACATGGACTAAGAAACAGAATCCTGAGGTACAGACTAACACCTGCTCTTCATTTTCTCAAGATTCTCATGTGGACATGGTTCCAGTCAAGACTTCATTATAGGGCTGCAGCTAACGATGATTTTAGTATTCGAAGCTTCTTTAGATTATTTCAACGTGTTTATGCGTCATTTAAGAAGTACTTTTGCTTTTTGTTCAGCTGCCGTCGTGCTGTTGCCGAGGCGACAAAAGTTTCATTTTACGGTGGACGGACGGTAACATTACAGAGTTGTTTTCTTTAACTTGAAATAATCCCAGACTTTGGACACTTTCTTTTTTGTCCCTGCTGTTTTCCTCCGCTTTGCAAACAGCTCCATCATAATCACGCCGCGTTCACAGCGTAAACACTGTGCTGTATAGTTACATGGATTAAATGAAGCATCGATGCAAAGAATTTGTGTCGAAGCATTTAATGAATCGATTTTATCGATGAATCGTTTCAGCCCTACTTCATTGTTCTTTTTTTATATGCACTTTCAGCATGTGAAAAACCAGCACTGTCTCACAATTTAAAACAGTTCACAATGATAGGGGGACAAAACACTGATCTTCCCCACTTTATGTTAATGGACGGATTGTGAGAGCTGATAGTCTCGACTGTTCGAAGCACTTAAGACAACACAAACCAGCCTCAAAGTTCTTTATTTTCAATGGAATAAGACTAATGGACTTGGACATTTGAATTTTGTGCATTTCCTTTTCAACATTATTATTACTCATTAGTCACCATGTTGTAGAAATCACAAACATTTTACTGATTACAGTTGATGGTATCAACTGTTCTCATCAGACAGATGTTTTTCTTTATTACGGTTTTTGATTGTTAAATGCAGTTGCAGGCAAACAGTCTCAAGGTTTATATCATCTCATTTAAATTAACTGATTGGTGTAAGAGTTGGTTGGGTCGACCTCGCTCTGCATAGGTGACTGTGTTCAATATACTGTTAGAACATGTTTAATTAGCATAAATATGGTCTCAATTTAGCACTTGTTGGAGGAGATGAAGGCTGTTAGTTGAGAATCAATTCTCTTTGAATACATGAACTGTAAGTTCATTCATTGTACTCACCAGGAAACTGGTGAACTTGCTATTATTAGTTGAGATAAGGGATGGAAATTAAAAAAAGTCTACTTAAGTTAACCTAACTTGAAAAGGCAATTGGTATGAATATAGTCAATTATGTTAACTTAAAAATGTGTGTTGAAAGGGTGTAGACTTATGTTTGTTTGACAAGAAAAAGTAAGTTTCATTGAATAGACAATGTCATACGGATAGTTTTAATTCACAGAATCAAGTTGAAACAATAAATCATTCATTAAACAACTTCTATAACTTACAGAGTTGAAATAGCTTAGATTTGTATGTTTGACAAAAAGCAAGTTGCTTTGAATGAACAATGCAATATAGGTTGTTTTAACTCACAGTATCTAGTTGAGACAGTAAATGTCCATTAATTAAACAACTTGTGTAATGTAACATGAGTTAAAATTAAGCTTTTCAAAAAGTTTACTCACATTTTTAAGGCAGCAATTGAAATAAGTTAAACCACCTTGATAATTTTTACAGTGTCGGTTTAGTTTCAACTGTGGAGGGGGCAAATAAAGAGGAGGGTCTGGAGGTCCTCCCCCAGAAAAGTTTGTGCATTAAAGACCTGCGTAAAGAATTTCCTGCATTCTGGTGAATATTTCTGCACCAACTTATGGTTAATCTTCATCTATATAAAGGGTATTCAAGTGGTAGGTGACAAATCAAAATATTAAAATTTTACCTTTAGATCAACTTTTCTAATTATAATAAATTCCTGCTGAGTCAGCATGCTTAGCCCTCTCTTCTCTTTTGATTCTCCATTTGGGGAAATAACCTCTTTTTAATAGGCCTACATGGTACCTTTTTCACCTAAATGAGAAATTAATTAACTTTAATTCAGTTATAAACTCCTGGACTTTAAAGAGGTGGTATTCTGCTCATTTTCAGGTTCCAAATCTTATTTAGGGGTTGTACCAGAACAGGTTTAAATGGTTTAATTTTCAAAAAACACAATGTGTTTCTCATCCTGCACATTGCTGCAGCTCCTCTTTCACCCTGTGTGTTGTACGCTCCGCTCTTCAGCTACAGAGTGATGCATCTTACTTGTACAAAATCTTTGTTGGGAGTTGCACATGCGCAGTTCCCAGGTAAGGACTACTAGCCAATCAGAGGCAGAGAAGGGCGGGTCGTAAGAAACAAGGTAGTGTGATCCAAATCAAAGCCGCTTCAGACTGCGACCGTAACAGATGGTATAAGTTACTCACAAGTCCACAACATCATTGTTCCACATCTGACCATCAGGACTAAACGTTGAACTGTTGCCGGTGTTCTGACGATCTATGCTGCCTTGCTGAAAAATGCTACCATAGCGCAAATCGATCGACTCGACTCTACTCGACCCTGCTCCGTTTTCCATTGCAGATAGTACCCAGAGGAAGTACGTAGCTTGTCGTCATAGCGACGCCACACACAACTGCCGCGACACACACACCAGCGATCCACACAGCTTTCTCTTTTTTAAGTTGAAACGTTTCAACCTTCCTCAGAATGTAAAGACAGATAAGTGGTATGAAAACCTTCCAGCTGTGTTTTCCTCTGCCGTTGTTGCTGCAGCGGTCTGTGTGACGGCGGGAGCAGAGGGCTCTGTGAGCGGGCGGCTGGCCGGCCTCACACGCTCCTCCCGCGGGTCACAGCAGGCTTCCCCCGCAGCCACTTGCTGAGCTCCTCGGCTCCGAAAATATTCAAGCACGTTTTTGTTCCGCCATCACTTCTCTAAAACTGTCAATATTGAAACTGTAAAATATAAAACTTTCTGTTGCTGGCCTCTGTCTGGTGCAGCAATGATGATGCAGTGAATAGTGAATATTCTCTCTGACCAATCAGCAGTCTGGCTGTTTTCACGTTACATTTTAATATCCCTCAGCTCGCTTGGAACCTCGATGGAGGTGAGGTGATATGAAAAAAAGTACCTGGAAGCAGGTACAGGTGCAACATTTCTACAATGGAAAACCAAACAAAGGCGAGCCAAAGGGCCTCCGCTCAGACTAGCTTGGTTTGAGGGCGTGCCTGACCCCGCTAGCCGCTTGGCAAGCTTTATGACCCGTTTTCATTGTGACGTCAAGTAAACAAGTAAAAGTAAAGGAAGTGAAGGGCTGGACTCCAACCAGCTGTTTTCAAGCGGTTCAGAGCAGAGTTTTCTGTGGGAGATGGGAACTCCCTTTGGGCTGGACTTTGGGCTTTTTCACTTTGCAAACCTGTTACATGCACAAAAAAGAGAGAGAACTCAATAAAGGAGAGGGAAAAGCAGAATACCACCTCTTTAATAGCTACTGTGTTTCAGCAGGTTTTCAAATGTTCAAAACTTTCTGCACAATCAGAATCTCTCACACACATCTGTTTTCTCGGACAGAAAAATGTCCAGAAAAAAATTGCAATATTACGAGACTAACACCATCATTTAATGAGAATTCACAATATTTTATATTTTACCTGGCCTGGCTGTGCATTGTGTTATTGATCTGCTGGTATATAGTTTATCCCTTTAGACCGTTTGACCGACTCAGTTTGGGACTGCATGCTGCATGTGAAACCAAAACTAACTGAAACACTGATCAGGCAGAAATCTCAACATAAATCCACACGTTAAAATCAGCAGCTCCAATAAAGTTCAGCTCACAGTCCAAAACAGAGCAAGGTTGTGCTTCAGTTTTAAGATGTTTATATTGCAAAACTCTACCAGTTACATTACTGTCTGGACTCGCAGCGCGAGGTGCACATGATTAAAATCGGAGCGCCCCCTGACATTTTGCGCCCTAGGCAACCGCCCTATGTCGCCTATGCCACGGACCGGCATTGTGCGGTAATGCAGAATTGACATATTATCACCTTTTTTATATTTGTTCTGGTTAATCTACCAGTGAGCAGTTGCCTATTCACACCAACAGCTGATACAAAACGACATGAGCATTCATTTGGAGTTGTGCATCATAACCTGTGTGTTCATCAAACCTGGGCCATCTCTTTGCGGATCATCTCCTTGGCTTGCTCATTTGAGTTGAAGGTCTGGATGCTGCTGTTGTGTGCTGGCCTGACTGTAGACGGTTCCATCCCTAACACAGCAGCCTCTGGCTTCCTCATAGGCTCACTTTGCTCTTGCACTTTTTTAATATTCTCCTGAAAAATGATGTAACATGAGTGGCTCTGTTAATAAGTCTGATTTTAATAATGTAAGCCTACAAACCTGAATGAAGTTCTTGGATTGTTTGAGCATCATCTGCTGGCGTTTCCATTTCATGTACTCTCTGTTGTAAGAGTCGAGTGTTGCATGTCTTTTCACCCAGACAGGCATAGTGAGCATGTCCGCCTCAGTTTTTCTACTGGCTTTCAGTTGCCGCTGCTCAGCATATGTGCCATATTCCTTGCTCATGCTGAGAATCATGTCAGCTGAGGGGAAGAGGTTGCACTGCACCACATCTTTGAGTTGCCTTGCTTGACAAAGCTGGCTTAACCTAGGCAAAAAAAGACCTCACAATTTAGTAAATACTTACCATGGTGAATTTCTATAGCGCTATTTAAATTACAAATATGCATGGCCTTTCATGTCAACTTCTAATAGATTAATTCATGTTAAATGATCAACAGTGTTTTTACAATTTTAGCTGCTTAACTAGAAATCATGCATACTAAGTTACTAATTATTCATAGTTTGTGCCAACCATTTTCAAACATCTGCTGCACATGAGCAATGGAAACTCATTCAGTATGTGACAAAATAATCTCAACTCAAAGGTTTGATCTGGGATTATTTTCTTGCGTGTGGACTGTACATTGTTCCATAAGTACACTTGTACACTTTCTGTAATAATACATCCCTATCAGATTGGGGACCCTGGGACAAAATTTAATTTAAATTTGTTTAAAAGGTTTAGGGGTCCTTGAGATGAAAAGGTTTGAGAACCACTGGATAATAACTTTTGTACTATGTGAAAATAAAGCTAAAACATTACCTGGAAAAAGTAGGAAAAAAATCTTAAGGCTGCGCTAATTGATATGTTCCTAACAATGTATCAAATAACAGTGTCCTGTGAAAGGGGTCACTCATAGTGAGGAATCCAGACACACGACTGTAGATGTACTTTGTGGCCGTCTGTCAGCTCCATGTTTTGGGTTCATTTCTCTCATCAGCCTTGTTTCCAGTCAGCAGCTGTTTTCAGTGAAGAAGCTTTGATAAACATGGACACTGGACTATTTAGCAGCTAAAGACTCAGATATTTCCAGCAGGAGTTGGAGATCAAAATAAAACTAAGATGAGAGTGAATATTGGACTTGCATTCATCATGTAACACTGTATTCACCAGGAATACACAAGTGAACAAAAACAATCTATTAATGCTGCTTCAAACATAACAGCATGGTTTACTGTGATGTTTTGTACAATATTCATCATTTGTAGTAAATGGAGTAAAACATGCAAATCGCAGAAATGGTCCTTTAAGGCCACTGTAATCTCACATTATTGGTACCTTGACAAAGCTTGGAAGCAGGGTTGAGGGATCGTGCCTCTAATGTAGACCAGAGGCTGTCTGATGATGGTCTCTAGTGACTCATATAAATGGATAGGACTCAGGCCTACATCTAATGAGTCATAGATGCGCTTGTAGAAACCCAGGTTTGAATTGTAGAGGACTATCACCTGCTCCTCCTCATTCCCACTTAGCCTGCAAAACACACACAACTGCAGGATTATCATTGGAATTTAAACACTTGACCCAAATAGACAGGGCAGCTGAAAACTGTTAGCTAAGAGAGTGTTCATAGGGACTTCATAGGAACAGCCTCCCAAATTCTCTTCACCGCTTTTTGTTTCAGCCCTTCAAGAACAAAGATGTGTGTCCTCTTGTCTACTATGTGGAATCCTGTAACAAAATCCAGATCCTTGCTCTCATTGTTCTTGAAATTCAGTCTGTAGTTTGACAGGGCTTTCTCTAGATTTTCCAGTGAGTGAGAGCAAATATGAAAAGCTGATGCATTGATTCTGAGGATCTCTGACCTCAGCTCGGTCATCACAGAGATGTTGTTGTAATCAAAGAGGTAGATGATGCGCCCAAACGGATCAGAGGTCTCCAATTCACAGCCGTTTTTTAACGTTGAGCGGAAAGGCTATCTCAACCTTGACTTTGAGTTGAGAATTGGCATCAAAATAACGGCCTTGTGGCATGGGCTGTTGCTAGCTGCTGTGTCGGTCGTCTTCCTGTTCCATGCATTCGCTCTGTGCCAGCAGCGGAGTAGAGGGCAGCATTGATTGGTAAGTGCATCTGTAGGCTTTTCCTCCCAAGTAGCAGCTATGAGAGGTTCAGTCTGCAATACCATGCGAGTTCACGACTCTTGCCTTCTGTTTTAATAGCGACGCACCACACAGGATGTCTTCTGACCGCGTGCCAAACACTGCTGGAGTTTTGGTGTTTCCTCCAGCTTTCTGTCC